ACAGTACTTCATTACAACTTGGAAATCCTACATCAGGGATCCCTAAATATAACCCTGAGAGTTCAACGTCAAAAGTAAATAAAAACTGAAACTGAAGTACTACATAAAACTTCTACCCTGCACTGGATCGTAGGAGTAGATGAGTTCGGATGATGGTCCCACACTGCTAACCTCAGCCTTGAAACGGATACTGACCGTATCCTGAAATAACAACAATGGTGGGTCAACCCCACGAGCAAGTCCTCTCTACTATGACCCAAATCAGAGAATCAAATAAATTAATCATTATGAATCGGATGAGTGCTATATCTGTATACATCCTACGGGAACTATCCGATGTATAACATGACCTCAACCAGAATAGACGGTGATCACTTAGACTCACACTAGGTGGTCAAGTGTCGCCTTTCCCTACCCGGGAAATCAGCTATTATACATGGTGTACGGTACTGACAACACAGACTATAACGAACTACACAGTGATAACACCTCGCAAAGTACTGATGAATATACTGAGCATATAAATTAGGCAACACATGCCAACAATATTAATAAATGTACCGAGAATGTCAATTTAGGCAACACATGCCAATAATATTAATAAATATACCGAGTATGTCAATTAGGCAACACATGCCAATAATATTAAACCACATACCCCGACAGCCACACATCTGTCTATCGCAACGAATGCATAAGGTATAAATGAGTCTAAACTTATTAGTCAGCTCACATGGTTCTATATGGCAACACATCCATATAATATAAATGCGACATAATAAACAGTCCATTTATTCCCTGAAATGCACACAGCATAATAATCATGGTTTATATACGATTAACAGTATAAATATTCCATAATATATAATGGGTTATTTATATGAAGAAAACCAAGCACTAATTAATTTAACATTAATGGTTATTACAGTTTAATAAAATAATACCATTAATAGTCGTTAAATCAATTACATATGTTTACTAGCGATTCGCACTTTAACTGATACAATTAATATTTAGAAATATTAATCGGACATTTATAATAATTAACGAGAAATAAAATAATAATATAATGTCCCGTTAATTCCAAAAATGCCAACCCGAGGCCCCAAAATGTATAGTGAAGGTCCTGGTAATGACAAAACAGTCCCTAGGGGTATTCTGGACTTTTCCAGCAGCCGTAGAGGCCCTTCACGCGCCCCCACGCGCCTCCCAGAGTTCCCCACACGCGCCGCCAAGCTTTCCCACTCTCCCACGCGCCTCCACGCGCGTCTGGCGTCAGCCACGCGCGCACACGCGCTCCCACGCGCGTTTGGAGAGTCCCACGCGCGCGCACGCGCTGCCACGCGCGCGTTGATGGCTTCCTGCTGACGTGGCGTTCTCCGGTTGGTTGGCTGCATCATCCTTCCTACATGCGCGCCACACCGGATCATCTCACCCTATCTTCCCTCCATCCAACGCCCACAGATCCGGGTGTACCGCGGTATCATGGACCGCGATGCACCGGATCAATCAGACTCCACTAATGGCCAAGATGCGCGCGTACACCCTCCTATGGTGCGCCGCGTTGCACCGGATCACTCCGGTCGTCTCCCCCGCTGCCGGCGACCGGAAAACTCGCCGGAAGGTCGCCGGAAATTGCAGAAAATGCCCGGAAAAATCTAGAAAATTCTAGAAAAATCCCTAAAGTCTTATTTAATTATTTTTAGCCATTATTAATTTCATAGGACATTAAATAAATATATACCATCCTATATAATTAAAATTCCATTAATTTGAATAAAATAAAATTAAAATTTATTCACCTCTAAACCTTGGCTCTATGCATAAAACTAAACTAAACAATTAATTTATTAATTCAAAGGGGAAAAGTAGATAATAACTTGCCTTTTTGGATTTAAAATAAATCCGCCGGTCTGCGCGTAGTCGGGTAAAATTGCCTACACCGGTCCAAGCTTCTTTCTCTTTCTCTTTTCCTTTCACTCTTATAAAATAGCTCTCTAGAATTTATACTTTGCTTCTAACTCCCTTTTATTTTTTTCTAAGGCAAGCTAGTTAATTTATACACAAAATATATAATATAAATATTACAAATATCTAATTTATAATAACTTCTCACCCATTTCTCATATTCCTACCTATATGGCTTTAATTCCAACCATAACCATTGATGCAATCCTATCCTAATCTCTAATTTCATCATGACTTTGGTTTAATACTATTATTATTATTATAATAAATATTATTATTATTATTACTAATATTATTATTAATAAACTTTTATAATTATTATTATTATATTATTATTATTATTATTATTATTAAACTAATATAATTATTATTATTACAAAATAATACATTATATCATCATAATACTATATAACACAAATATAATACTTTAATTAACTAATAATGATTAATATAAGCATAACCAACAAATAAAATTATTATTAATAATACATGCATAATTAAATGAATAAATTTACTATTTTAACATACACAATCACTTTACATGCACAATTAAATGAACATAATATAATAATGTAGTATGCACAAATAAATAAAATTAATTAACCTAACACAAAATTAATTTAAATACATTCTTTAAAATTACGGGGTATTACAATCTTGATTCTTAATGATCTGTTTTACAAGTATGTTTAATGGGTAATTGCTAATTTAAGCTCCAGCCTCCTAATATGAAGTGAATTTTGAATTAATTTCCATTATGTGTATTAATACAAAGTTCTGCTAGCTGTTGACAATTTCTGAAACTTCATACATCTTTTTTTTTCCCCATCAAATAAATGGAATTTTTTATTATCACAGTTAATTTTAAGATTTAGTAGTTTAATTTTGGTCCTTAGTCTCTCACTCATCCCTGAGATGTATACCTCTATCTGTTTCTGTCTCTGTACACACACATGGCTGATTTATTGTTTCATCTTTGGTTGTGTTGTTAATGCTGCTCTGTTAATGAATTGGGTCTGTATTTTCTCTTCCTCTCTCATCCTCAATTCCACCTAGGATGCGTAATCTACCTCTCCAGATGCATCAGTATGTTCTAATAATAACATAAAAAAATTGATTTTTTTTATTTATATGCACTACATGAACTGGCATGGGCAATCCTGTCATATTAGAATACATAGATGCTTCTTTTCTGAAATAGCATTTTGCATGAAATGCACCATTGGAGCAGAATTGCTAAAATATAGCATTTTGACACTGTAGCATCTGTCAAAATATAGATTTTGCATGTGAAAATAGCTTTTAGCATTGGAGATGCTCTTATGATGTTAAGGCGATTTTTTTATTTTTTATTATTGTGTTTTCTAATGACTTTTCATATTGGAACCACAAACGTGAACATAATTCAAAATATATATATGGTGATATTCATGCTACAACATACTCCACTTTATCAGTAACATAAAATAACAAAAAGGCCCTTTTATGTTTTAATAGGATTTTATTTTCTTGTTTCCATCTTTATCTTCACCTCTTTGTAGCAACCCTATGCAACCTTTTTTTTTTTTTTTTTTTTCGTCCTGCTTAGTAGTAATTTCGGATTCTTCCTTAACTCTTTATCTTTTTAAAATTTAAGATTAGAAATTTAGGTTCTTTTTTCGGAAAATATTTTACTTTTTTTATTTTTTAGGTGTTTGTTGAAGGTGTAAGTCGTGGTTGAGGCTAAGTCCATCAAATAGGGGCATGTAAAACTATTTATCAAAAATTAATGGGTAAGTTATTTTTATTAAATTTTAATATTTTTTTGTTTGTATAATATTTACGATAACCAAACACCAAAAAATTAAAAAATATTTTACATCCAAATAAACAGAGTCTAATGTAAAATCAACTTTATTTTTATTCATATGATTTGTTAATATTTTTTCAATTGTTAATACTTATACGAAAGACAAATACGAAGTCACCAATCACATAAAAATAAAAAGATTCGAGTTTGTTATGAAATTGGCATCATCCCCATAAAATAAAATAAAATAAAATAAAAAAACTATCAGTCTTAAAACTTTGAGAGAAAAATAAATTGATTTGTTTGGATTGACAATAACATTTGATCAATGGTTGTATCTACATGGAAAATCTTCCATTTGAAATCAAAGGATATAAATCTCTTTGTTTGGCCTTTAGCCTCGCGTTTTTTTCTTTGTTTTCCATTTTCTGATTAATAAAGTTTATTTACCCAAAAAAAAAAAAAGGAAATTTGAAAACAATGTTAGGGTTTGGTGAAAAATAGAAAATGCGAGGAGTTATGAAAGAAAGGAAGCTTTAGGGTGAGAAATTGAAAGAATGATTTTTTAGGAAAAAGAGAGATATAGTCTAAGGGCATCTCCGATGGACTCTCCGAATTCAGGCTCTCCAAATTTGCCACATCAGCATTTTCCCATAACCACGTCAACATTTCCCTTAGCCACATCAGTGTTTTAGAATCTCCAAATTTTGGCTATCAGATGTACTCCAATGGTGTATTTTCGCTCTCCAAAAATATTAATATTTTAATATTTTTAAAATTTAAAATAAAATTTATTTTTTAACTTTTCCTAACGGCTATATTTTTCATGTTATATAAACAACTATTTGTTCATCCTATCATTATTACATTCATCTCAACTTATTCTAACAAAATATCAATTTACATCTCTTTCAATCTCAAAATTCCAATGGCTTCCTCATCACGATTTTTTCCTTTGTTAGGCTCTAATTCTTCATCATCTTCTTTATCATCCTCTTCATCAGATAACGTTATTGACTCGATGATTCAACGTAATCAAGACGTCTTTCGTGAGATTTTGAATTCAATGAAGCCAGAGATAGTAGAGCAAGTTTTTAAACCACGTAAGAGGCAATAAATTCATCGTGATCGAGAGAGAAGTCACCGTCAACTAATGAAAGACTACTTTGATGAGAATTGCATATATCAACCGGAGTACTTTCACAGACGATTCAGGATGCGACGAGAACTATTTCTTTGTATAATGAATGATGTTAAAGCTTATGACAACTCCTTTATCCAAAAAAGGGATGCAACAGGTCGTTTGGGGTTGTCTTCTATACAAAAGATGACAATTGCAATATGCAAACTCGTATATGGTTGTGCAGTCGATCATTGTGACAAGTATATTAAAATCGGTGAGAGTACTACTATTAAAGCCCTGATGACATTTTGTAAGGCTGTTATTGGTGTGTATGGGGAAGAGTACATGCGCCCACCCAACGAAGCTAACATAGCACGACTACTTCACGAAGGGGAGGAGAGAGGATTCCCGGGTATGCTTGGTTCTATCGACTGTATGCACTTGGAGTGGAAGAATTGTTTGGTGGTATGACATGGCACGTACAAAGGACACTCTCATACGCCTACGCTCATATTGGAGGCAGTTACCTCAAAAGATTTGTGGATCTGGCATGCATTCTTTGGAATGCCTGGTTCAAACAATGATATTAATGTGCCGGATTATTCTCCGGTATTCTACAGTATCGTTACTGGCCAAATTCTTCCGGTCAATTTCATTGTGAATGGCCATTACCATACAATGGGGTATTACTTATCTAATGGTATATACCCTAAGTGGGCAAATTTTTTTGCTCAGAGACAGGAGCCTGTAGGAATGATGTGGAACGAGCTTTTGGGATCTTGCAGAACAAGTGGGCAATAACGCACGGACCGATGTATTTTTGGGATAAAGGGGACTTATGTCTTATAATGAAAACGTGCATCATCCTTCACAACATTATCATTGAAAATGAGCGCCATGCCAATGTTGGAAGATAGACTCCGCCACCGGAGGAGACAATCTCGATTCCCACTTTAATTCAAAATCTATCAGTCTTAGCGGCACACATCTACTCTCGCCAAGTCCAAATTCGCAATAAAGAGACAAATATGCGGTTAAAGAAAGATTTAATTGAAAATTTATGGAACCGCTTTAGTGAAGCACGTGTTTAATTTATGTTTTATTATTTTATTTTTAAATTGTTATGAAGTTTATGTAATGCAATATTTATTGTGTAATGTTTTATTTTGAAATAAATAATTAAATTGTTTGTTGATTAAATTATTTAGCCAATATGTATGACATCTTAATTAATATAATTTTATTTATTAATTTATAGTGAAAACAAAGACATATTTTTTTGTAATAAAAAAATCATATTTGAACTAAACAACGAAAGGTTTTTTTTTTTTTTTTTAATATGTATATAATTATTTTTTAAAATTTTTTTTTTCAAAAAATAGGTTTTTGTGTTAAGGCACTGTTTGGGTCAGCCAAAAAGTGCCTAAAACAGCTATATGTTAGTAGGAATATTTAAAAAGCAATTTAAAAAAAAAAAAAAAAACGCTTTTATCTATTTTTTTTTAAAACTTTTTTTCCCCAAAAAAACTCTTAAGGCATTGTTTGTATCAGCCAAACAGTGCCTTAACGGCTCTTTGATTCAATTATTTTGAGGAAAAAAAAAAAACAGACCAAAATCAGCCAAAAAACTGATTTTTTCCTCTTTTTTTTTTTCAGCCAAACATGCCTTACCAAACACTATTCTGGGCTAAAACACTGTTTTGGCCATAAATTAAAAAAGAAAAAGAAAATTGACGCGGCCCGCATGGCAGGCCCGCAAATCGCCAACCCAATCTTGGTTTTTGGCGACCGGGAACAAGAGCCTCTTTATGGGACTCACTTTTCCCATATGTCATTGGAGCATTGCATCTTCAAAAATTGGGCCACTTTTGCCAAAAAAGTGACTGAAGGAGTTGCTCTAAAAAAGTTTGATTAGGATTTATTTTGTCATTTTAATTTAATAAAATAATGAATGGAGTTTTATAATACATTTTTGGAGTGCAAATATCACCCCTTTTCAGAATTTAAATCCTCAAATAAAAATATTTAATGCTAGAACCTATAAATAATCATATTTAAATGTGGTTAATTTCATTTACACCCTATCAAGTTTAGTCAAATATCTCATTAAAATAACTTTAAAAATTACTATCATTTAGGTCCAATTTTGTTTTTCGGTCACTAACGCGATTAAAAACTTGTGAAAAGTCATTTTTACCCTTATTTTTTAAATTTAGTTTAATTCAAAATATCAACAAAATTAAAAGACATAATTGCCCTTATTTGTTTTTCTCTCTAAAATTCACTCTCCCCCTCTGTAGTCCGTAGATTTGATGATAATAATAATAATAATAATATATTAAGTATAGATTGATAACAAAGTTGCGGGTTAAGAGGTGGAAGTGGTGCTTCGCCGGAGAAGAGAGGTTCGCCGGTGAGCGGTGATTGAGGTGTGGTGGTGGTGATGGATTTGAACTTTGAACAATTGATTTACAAACTCTCTCTCTCTCTCTCTCTCTCTCTCTCTCTCTCTATATATATATATATATATATATATATATATCTCCTCTCCAAATATATACACATATATGGGTCTCTCCTTCTTAAAGACTTCAACTTTGCTATTGTTACACTTATCATCTGCAAGGTAATTATGCACTTGGTGGAGATTAAATTTGGGAATTAATTGCACAAGTTATTTAGGGCACAGACAACCCCGCTGTAATTGTGCACTTGGTGGAGATAAAATTTGATTCCAGTCCTTGGCTTATGAAGCCAAGCTCACTTCACAGACCTGACCTCTCTTCTCTCAATCAAAGAAGTCTCACTGAAAGTTATTTTGTAATCAAAGCACTATATCTATCATATTCATATACATGATATAGAGAATAGTATCTATATATATATATATATATATAAGCTTTGATCTATATACATATACACATTACTGTATATTTATATTCATATATAAATATATAATTGTAAATTTGTAAAGTATGTAGGGTTATTTTAGTCTTTTCAGATTTTTTTAAGGTTTGAGAACTCTTCTGACAAAGTCAAATGGTATTTAAGTCATTTTATATAACATCAAAGTTCTGAAAGACGAAACAAACGTTTGCAGGTTGAGTGATAGTTATTTTCAAAAATTATTTCAATGTGACATTTGGCTAAATCTGAGGATGTGTCGGTAAAATTAACTAGATATAGTTTGAAAAATATATTAGGACAAATTTATTAAAACCTCCAATACTATCAAAAAATGATCATAAAACCCTAACGAGTTTTAAAAATCCCAAACAAACATAACAACGTTAATAATTGCTTTGCCAAATTGACTTTTGTGACAAAAATACCTTTGGTGTCACATGTGCCAAATAAGTGATATATATATTTAAATGTGTTATTTCGAAAATACCCGACCATAATTGTACTTATTTTTTGCACGTAAGCTGCCTTACTTAATTGTATTTATTTTTGGCACGTGTCCTTGTATTTTTGATACATTGCTAATTATAAAAAATGGATTATTCCTAAAAAATGGGATAATGGAGGTCAAAGCACAAATTCATGGAGTCCAAATCAATTCTTCCAACTTTACTAATTCACCACCTTCCGTTTCCCCACTGTCAACTATCATCACCGTTCTACCTTGCTCGTCGATTGGGTCTCAATCGCTGGCATCGATCTCAATTCAGTCTTTTCTCGGTCCGATGTCGGTTGTCGAAGTCTTAGGCTCTGATCGCCGGCATTCTGTTTTCCTCTGTCGGTTTAGTTCTTGCGCACCGGAGTTCTCTCTATTTCTCTAGACCGCCGACCACCAACCGCCGGCGGCGAGACCCATTATTGTTTCGACTCCGGCGGTTCCTTTTCTTGATTCGCCACTGACTATTCTCTCTCTCAAACCTCCTCTTTCTCTCTTGATTGAGTCGATTCAGAGGGGATTGTCTCTACATTTGTGATTGGCCTGGTTGTGTGCACACTGAAGAGAAGCAAAATTATATGTTTTTTAGGGGAATTTTCAAACGAGCCGGTGGATAACCGGAACTAGTATGCACGTTATTCATGTGTGTGGATCAGTTGATCTTGAAACTGCGTCGTGAGGAGGAGGAAAATGCATGGGGAGAGAGTGTAGGATTTTGGGGAGTCTCGATTTGGAAAGAAAATTGGATTTTGGAGGAGAGAGAAGAGGTGACGAAGGATTTGGGGGGAGTCATAGAAGGAGGAGGTGGTGGATTGGTCGGCGACGGTGGCGGGGTCGTTGGAGAAGGAGGAGGGAGTGATGTGGGTGACGCGGCCGAGGAGGAAGCCATCCACGTCACCTGGAGAGGAAAAGATATGTTGGATTAAAGAGGCTAACGTGGGGCCCAATATTTATATCTTCTGTAATGTAAGGTTATCCATGGTTGCCGTGCTAGAGAGAGAGAGGAGTGAAATTTGTGCAGGCTAATTGTAATTTCAAAAATATGATTTTTGTACTAAAGATAATATTGTAATTTTAAAAATATAATTTTTTGATTTTTTAAATAAAAAGTAATATAATAAGAGTAATTTAGTCATTTTACATAGCTTTAACACTGGTTGGAGTTTTATGATCATTTTTTGATAGTATTGGAGGTTTTGAAAAATTTGTTCAATATATTAAATAAGAAAAGTGATAGGTCTTTCGACTTCAATTGTTGACTCATTCTCCGAATACAACTTGATTGGGAATGAATTGAAAAGAAAGAAATATTTACGAGATTATGTTTTAAGAGTTTCAATGTAATCTAACTAAGTTGTATTTAAAAGATAATAACATATTATTTTTTATTAAATAATTAATAATTTATCAGAAGACTTCATAGTTATTGTACTGAGTGAACCGTGATAGTGCGTTACTCCGTATTTAAAATGGTCTTCGGGTTTGGCCCTTTGGGATGCATGTTGTCGGTGGAGTCACACCAAACTAAGCATGAGCTTCTTCATAGACGATCCAAAACATTAGTATAAAGTCTTGCTGGAACCTATATTCTGACACAATAATTGCTGTTTTTTAGATATGCGTGAGACACAGTGGCAGTACAGTGAATTCCTCGAGTTTCAGGGGTATTCGACGAGGACAATCAGTAAACGACGACGTGTAGCACCTTACGACTACGACGCAGGGTGGTGGTTCTCTTGTCCTTTCCTCTTCGGAGCAGAATAGCAACAGTGAAACAGACATATATTGAAGAAGCCTTTGGCATTCAAACACAGAAATTAATTAAATTAAGTAAACAATTATTTTCTATATTTTAGTAATACAGTACTCCTTTTATTTATATTATTCGAATTAAAAATCCGATTGGTATGAGATTTTCTTATTTATTTAAGAAAAATGAAAATAAATTAATCTTGTATCATTCCAATATCAAATCATTTCATTTTTTGTTACTGAATCTGAAAATGATGGAGTGCTTAGAACTCACCCAGTTCCAGTAATTGATAGTTCATCCTTGCATCTGCTTCATCTTGTTTCTGCAAGGTAGCTTTTGCTCACTCTCTCTCTCTCTCTCTCTATATATATATAATTTACAGAGAAATGTATGTATTTATATATGCGTATAAGCCTCAATTTTGTTGTGAAGAAGATTTGGATCATCTAGAATTTTCTGTATCTTAAAATTGTTGTGATTTGGAATGGTTTTGTTAGTTTGAAGATCAAGAATAGTAGGCTGTGCTTCAATTAAGTACCGATTCAGTAAGTTTTGTTTCACCAATTGAAGATTAAGCTGTTGTAAAAATTACCTTTCATTTTTTGTATTTTCATTTTCTTTTCTGTACATAATATTGCTCATAGCATGTTTCTCTCTATATATACACACACACATGCACAGGCTTTTATAAGTCAATAATCACACACTGAAATACATCTGGAGTGATCGGATGCTTCTCTGTTTCCACTATCACTTCTTATGTAGTTGAATTAGGGTTCTTTAAGCTGAAATTTGGTGTTGAGTGCTAAATCCAAGTATCATCTGCTTAGCACTACAAGTACTCTTTCTTTGAATTTTTGCTCTAAAAACCAAATAAACAACTACCAAACACAATTGCAATTGCATACTGTACCTAATGAGAACACTTTATGATGTTCTCTCTTGAATTTGGGGAGCTTGAACTGACCTCAGAACCGATGCCTCAGTTTGTTTTTAGTTTAAAATGTCTCCGCAAGAATTTTTGTTACTTTTGCATGCTTATTTTACTAAATTAAGTGCTTGCTTGGGTTCATTTAATCACATCTTTTAAATTTTCTTCCTAATTATACAGGATTGAACAAAGTGGAAGAATTTCTATTTCTTTAACCGTCTACTAAATTCTGCAATACATGGTTGGTTAATGCAATTCTAGTATGGACTACTCAATTCAATTTCAAAAGCTATGTCAAATCGAGAAAAGGAGATGGCTTTTTGTGTTGGCTTTGGTGGCTATGACTCACTTTTTGTGTCAGTCGCTATTGATTCCATATGAAAATGCTCTTCTGTCTCTATTGCCTGAAGTTCAGCTTCCAAACAGTGGGAAGGGGAACTTTTTATTTAGACCTGTTAATTCTGTGATGGTTAGTAAGTCTGTTCTTGTTAATGCTCCGGGGTTGACCGATACTAATCTGTTTGTTGGTACGGGTAAAGAGGCTGAAAATTCTAATGTGGCTGGAGAAATAGGGAATGATGATGAATCAATAGAGAATGATCTTCCACTAGATGAAGAAATCCTTGAAGCTGATCCCGAACATGTTGAAGATGAGAATTTAGACAATGGAGAAATCCTTGAAGCTGATCCCGAACATGTTGAAGATGAGAGTTTAGACAATGATCTTCCATCTGTAATATCTATAGCTATGGATGAAAGTTTTGCACAGGAGAATGCCAAAAATGGGAAGCATAGTTCTACATCATTGGAAAAGGATCATAAAACTAGGCATGCTTTTTATGTGCAGTCAATCGTTGAGCCACGCGATGCAGCTTCGACAGACAATATTCTAGAAGCAGACACAAGTATGATGCAAGATAAAGTTTTGGCCATTGGCACTGGCACAGATTCCCCTCTTGTTGGATCTCTCCCAGTAGATTCCTCAATTAACGACACATTTCTGAAAAAACCTGTGTCTGATTTAAGCACCCCTATTAGTTCCAAGGCACCAAACAAATCTACAGTTGGAGAACATATAAAGCTACATCTGAAGGATGAAAGTCACATGCTGTTGCAAAGTGATCTTGCTAATTCAAACAATGATTCTGCAATGCTGAATAATCGTGTGAAGAAGGAGATGAGGTGTAATATGCCACCAAAATCAATCACATCAATATATGACATGGAACGTTTATTAGTTCGGCATCGTGCTTCTTCACGTGCAATGGTATGAATACTTTTGTAAGAAATAAATAAATCTCTCTATGTGCTTGAACTGTGTGTTTTTTGTAAGGAAACTATTTTAACCATTTTTGAGTTGGAATGCAGAGACCGCGATGGTCCTCAGTACGTGATCAGGAAATTTTATCTGCAAAGTTACAGATTCAGAGCACTTCTATTTCAAAGAATGATAGAGAAATTTATGCTCCTCTCTTTCGAAATGTTTCCATGTTTAAAAGGTTAGCCTATTTCAGTTTTAAAGGAGTATAATTCATTTTGAAAGTAGTAATCATTCACAGGCTTCTGCATTCAAGAAGGTTTTTACTATTGTTAACTATTTTTGAGCTTTCTGCTTTGGTTTGATGAATTAGTGTGATAATAACGTCTTTTACGCCATTAATGAGAAGAAAAGGAACAAAAAATTAGAAGTATAAACAGAAGGAGAAACATTTTTTAACTGCTAAACTGACATATAAGCCTTAGATCAGTTGTTGGTGTATCATGATTTTCAGATCCTTGTGTGTTCTTGATCAAATTTTGTTTGGGAAACACTTACTTTGACTTCAATAATCTGATTTCAGATCTTGGTGTGTCAACTTAGATACAAATAGTTTTGTCATGCTTGATTCGTTTCTGTTTGTCATATAATTTATTGCACTGAAGATGCATGTATTACACATATATGCAGTGACACTTTTCAGAGGTCTTGTGAACTATGAATGATCATCAGGAACCAGGAAATTCTCCAAATGTATATTCCAGCCTTTCAACAGTCGGCTTACTTGTGCCTCGGAAAACATCTGTGTGTTATTGACTTACTGCAACTCATCTAAGTAATGTTTCTCTAGTTATATGTTTGAATATTGGGTATGATATGGATGTCAAACTTTCCTGATCCATTGATATTGGTACGTTAGCATATATAATTTACTCTTGCCATTGTCCTTTTGATTTCAATTATTCTGGCATCATCTCATGAAGTCATTTCACTCGGGGCATCAGACTCTTATTGATATGCATGTTAGTAGTTAAGCTGTGGATCTGAATGTTTTTGTTAAAAAAAAAAAAAAAAAAAAAAAAAAAAAAGGTTATAAATTCAATGCAATCAGTAATGGACATTGATGTGAATATTTTGCTACTTTTATATTCAGCGTAAAGAACAAACATACATTTCCTGCAACAGATTGTTTCGTCGTCGTGTTTCCCTTTCAGATTAAGTAATGTTATTAAGCTGATGTTATTTCAATCTATGCTTTTATATATGCACCTAGAAATGTGTTACAGCAATTTGAACAATTACTTCTAGTAGTGTTTCTCCTTTGGTGAAGGAGTTTCATCTTTAACTTCCATTTTGGTTGCATTAACAGGAGCTATAAACTCATGGAACGCATTCTCAAGGTATACATCTACAAGGAAGGAGAAAAACCAATCTTTCATCAGCCAATGCTCAAGGGCTTATATGCATCTGAAGGATGGTTTATGAAACTGATGGAGGGAAACAAACGTTTTGTTGTTAAAGACCCTCGGAAGGCACACCTGTTCTATATGCCATTTAGTTCACGAAGTCTACAGTACACTCTGTATGTACGTAATTCTCACAATCGGACAAACCTACGCCAATATTTGAAGAACTACACGGACAAGATTTCAGCAAAATATCCCTTCTTTAATAGAACCGGTGGAGCAGATCATTTTCTTGTTGCATGCCATGACTGGGTATGCTTCCAAATAACATTTATTTCTTTGGCCTTTACTTGAATTATAATGAAGCATATCATTATGTTAAGGTATTCAAATGTTTTATTAGTTCAGTTGCATGTTACTTCATCCCGAGTCTCATGATGTTACGCCATGACAATACACTATAATGTGACTGAAGTTACTTGAGAGTCAATTTAGTGTAGCAGGGAAAATGTAGTAATTCGTTTTCTAAACTCCGGTTAAAATGTCTAAATAACACCCTTGTAAGGTAACAAGTCCCCTTCATATTTCTGCTAAAGACTGGAAATTTGCTGCCTTCTCCACACTTTAAAGTTAGTTTCCTACGAGTGCATAAATCGGAATACAGTTTTGGCATGTCTATTCTGATGCATTGGATTGTTGTAGGCTCCATACGAGACAAGACACCATATGGAAAGGTGCATGAAAGCCCTCTGCAATGCTGATGTAACTGCAGGCTTCAAAATAGGGAGGGATGTGTCCCTTCCAGAAACCTACGTCCGTTCTGCAAGAAATCCTCTTCGAGATCTTGGAGGAAAACCACCTTCTGAACGACATATTCTTGCCTTCTATGCTGGCAACATGCATGGATATTTACGTCCAATCTTGCTCAAGTACTGGGAGAACAAAGACCCTGACATGAAGATTTTCGGTCCTATGCCTCCCGGTGTAGCAAGCAAGATGAATTACATCCACCACATGAAGAGCAGCAAGTACTGCCTCTGCCCTAAGGGTTATGAGGTCAACAGCCCACGGGTGGTTGAAGCCATATTTTATGAGTGTGTTCCTGTGATCATCTCTGACAATTTTGTGCCACCGTTTTTTGACGTCTTGGATTGGGGGGCATTTTCAATAATTATGGCGGAGAAAGATATTCCCAACTTGAAAGACATTCTCCTTTCGGTATCAGAAAAGAAGTATCTTGAGATGCAACTGGCAGTGAGGAAGGTTCAGCAGCACTTTCTCTGGCATGCCAAACCCATGAAGTATGATCTCTTTCACATGACCCTCCATTCAATTTGGTACAATAGAGTTTTCCAGATAAAACTTAGATAAGAATGTAGATCGATGATATACATTGAAGAGAACAATGTGAAAGTGTGGAAGTTGATCGAGACAGAAATTCACAACTTTGAAGAGGTTGAGTGTCCGAGTCCTACTAGGGTTAAATCTTGTGGGGGTGTGCGTTTGCTTAAACTTTTGAGTCTATCGTGGTTGGAATGCCTATTGTAAAGAGTTCTCTGTACATGTACCTTGTATTTCTCTTTCTTTTGAAGGAATGTAAGGTCTTTCTCTTGTTTAAAATGGAAAATTTGTGATGTTACTTAACTAGTCAGCAAGGCTCAGAATGTCAAAATGGTTTTATTTTCTCTTCAGGCTTTCAAGTTGCAACTAAAATTTGAATGAGTTTATCACGAGGAAGAGCCCACACTCTTTTCCCATTGGATGCATGTCCATGGTGTCAATCTTATCTGATTCAATGGAGACAAATGTCGTGTCAGCATTATTATGTTTTTTTTATTTATTTTTTGTATGTAAGTATACTCACACGCATACTATATCAAGACTTGCACCCTCAACTTTGTTTCTTTCTTTTTCTTTTGCCAAGGTGAATATATGGCACTCAAATCAAGATTTTGGCAGGGTCCAGTCCCTTCCAACCAAAGTTAAATAGCTAAATCAGTAAATTTTCGCTGGTAAGCGGTTCTGATATTAACTGAAATTTTAAAAAATTGTACAAAAATCTAAGTTGTCTTTATACATTTTTAAAAATAATTTTTTATTCAACTGCTCACTTCCCACTTTGAAGGAGGAGAGGTCATTGGGCTAATCCCCCAATGCTAACAATTTTTTGTTTTCTTAATTCTTAATCAAACATAAAATTATACTCTGATCCAGTTATTATTCAGTTCAAAATTGGGTTAGTTTGGTTTTAGACATTGAGGACAAAAACAAAAAAACAGTAGATAAGGCAAAACAAAACCAACATTCTGGGTTCCGGGGTTTGGTTGTGTTGGTAAGATGTTGGCCCGGACATTCAAAAGTCCAAAGTTCAAGCTTAACTACCTTCATTATTATCTTCAACTTAACTTGTTGTTTATAATGTAGAACCAGAGTCAGCAACTCAAGATTTACCTGGTAGGTTCCCGTCAGGAGAGAAAAAAAAAAAAAATTCTGGAAAATCCTTGAACTTTTTTCTTTTTTCACTGACAAAAGCTTGAACGTCTCATTGATGAAATATAACGAAAAGGCTTGAGTGTCTCATTTTAAGCATTGATAATAGCAACGAAAACTTGAAAGTCATACCTATGATCTATGTTCTCTTGTAGTACACACAACACAAAATTATCCAAGGTCCCAAACATGCCACGTGTTCCTTTTCAGCAAGTAAAGCAATCCATGCAATCTAATGACGCAGTTCTATTGACAGCTTTAGTGGGTCCCACTAACCACAATCTGCTGACTGTCCAAGCATTCATCACTAAAGCAACGCGTGTACTTCTAAAGCTCCAACCTTGTGTCGGTTTTACCCAGCACCATTCACTGCTTTTAGGGCTCAATTTCTGGTTTTCACTGAATCTATAGACTTTAGTGTGTCAGTTAAATTACTCCTTTTCTAAAAAAAAATAGTAAATTTTCAAATCTTCTTTTAACTTTAGTTTTTTTTCCTCTGCTTCTTTAACCAATTTAATTGTTTTACCTTTCAAAAAAAAAAAAAGAGCTGAAAAAAATATATATATACTTCAATTTATAGCCAATTCTTGGAGGGCTTTTTCAAAAGATTGCAAATTTCGAAAACCCATTTGTTTAATTTTGTATTTGTCGAAATGGGCTGAGGTGGGCCAGAGTAACAGGTATAGATAACGATCATGATCAATTGGTTCGTCCAGATCGGTTTCATTTGCTCCATTCCCATTCGATGTACATCTTTTTCATTCAGTTGCTAGTTAGTATTTGAAAATATGTGTATATATAAATATTTATAATACAAATAATAATATTTACACATTTCATACTTTATGGGAATGGGCGTATGCAGATTTTCCTTTATTCTTCTTCTATAAAATCTGGGTTTGCTTTGATTCCGAAGTACTACAATTTTTTTTTTCTTTTGGTTTTGCAGATTTCAGTATCCCTTTTCTTGTTGGACTTCTATTCTGCAATTTCTATTTGGTCTCTGCAATCTGGGCGTTTGTTTAGGTACTTTCTTCTTCGGAATTATTTGTTTTTTTCTTTCTGAATCAATTTGGTGAAAGAATAGTTTTAAATTGTTATGTTTTTTTGGAATATTGATTTCGTTTCTTATCTGGGAATCTGGTATTGTGCTTTGATTTGAAATTCTATTTGGAATGTGGAAATGGAAGTGGTTTTCTTGGTATCAAATCATGAGATGGTGTTGTTTTTGCTTGTGAAAATCCCCCAGCCTTGAAGTTAGGTTTTGAGGATTTTTAAATACCAAAATTCTCCTGGATTGAACTTGTATAAATTTCTAAAGATTGAATTTCAGCATACCGTTGAAATTCTTTCTAAAATTCCGTTTCTTCGTTAACAAGGATATTGTTTTTTTTTTAACAAAAAAGGATATTGTTTTTTCTTTGATTGATAAAATAAATCAAGCTATTGAGTTATTTCTCTTTTATTTTAATGTTTAATTTTGTTTTTCTTAGAATATAAGTGTGGTTGTTCTTGAATTAGGTTTTATAATGGAGGAACGCATGTAGACGTATGTAGATATTTATACAGTTGTGATCCTACTCAAAATTTTAATTTATACACGCAGGAATGCTTTGAACGGTATCTTATAGAAAATTTAGAATTATATTATCTTATTCCATTCTAATTTTTTTGGTATCTTATAGAAAGTTTGGAATTAGATTATAGTATCCCATTCTAATTTATCTGTTTTTGTGACGGCCTAAACATCCCTCTATATTTAAAATCCCTCTATATGTGACGGCTCTAGAAGGAAAGAATTGCACTTGTAGTGGCTCTCGCCCGTTACTATACTCGTTTGGGTCACTCTCAGCGTATTGCTTACAACTCACTCTTTCAAAGTCACCCTATATAAGCCTCATGTCTACTCTGCACAACATTGTACATAAATGTCCGGTATATTTACACTGTACAAAACTCTCTACTCCTTTAGAATATTCTCTCTACCACATCCTACAAATTCTCCAACATTCTTCAATATTTTAGAATCTCTTTCCAACACTCAACAATCTTTTGGAAGACTCTAAAACCTAACTTTACTGTACAGAGTCCTTCTCAGCGCTTGTTGCCTGCGTGGCGTAGCCTCCATGTTGGGCATGACATGTTGCTTTTTTAAGTTCAAGTCTTTTTTCTTTTATTTATTTATTTTTTTTAATTGATAAAATTGTTACATTTTTTCAGACATGGAAGGATTAATGGCAAACTTGTACATGAATGATGAAATTTCTGTTGTCAATTCAACAGTGAGTATTAGATATTATATATGTACATATCTCATTGCAAATTTTGAGTTTTCTTTTGATGATTTCAATCATGCTATCTTAAATTTCACTTTTTGTCATTCAAGTAACATCAAGTTGAAAAAGTTAGGGTCATGAGGGTCTTAAATTCAAAGGGATGAGTATTCGCTGTGAAACTTTCTTTTTTGATAAGTCACTTTATGTAATACATTACGCCCCATCCCCAACAAAAAAAAAAAAAAAAGAAAAAGAAAAAAAGAGAGAGAATAAAGAAAATTTTATATTTAGTAATTTCAGTTTAATTTGAAAGCTTGGTTTTACAGGCCTAATGTAGGCCTCTTATCAGGTCTGCTGTGATTCTGTGAGGGATGGAAGTATTCTTTCTAAATATCATGCTTTTTGCTCATCAGTGGATGACATTTTTACCCGTCTCTTGACATTGACTTCTTATATAAGCCATCGATTCATCCACTTCATTGGTGAGTTCTTTTTGCAATTTTAATGTTACTAATGCTGTGGGTGATATTTATATATACATCAATAATTATGAAAATGTTAATGTGTCTATTCAAGTGGCTTCTATAGCCATCCACTGAAATTCATTTGCAATTAATATTTTGGAATGTAATGGCTGCATTTGGGCTCAATATTACTGCAGAGGATCTTGTCTATAAAGATGCCAATAGTTGCTTTGAAGAAGTGGCCGTTTCCTCTGGACATTATCCGAGATCTTCAAGTTGCAGCAATTGTAGATTTGTCTCTGATGGTTGTTCGTCTTCTTCGGGTCCTTATAATAGCCATGGACTCCCTGAAAGAAGAGCATCAGGTCTTAAGAAAAAATTACCTGCAAATTCAAGATATGAAATTGTAGAAAAGAATTACAGATACCGGGGTGTTTCCTTCATTTTTAAAGGGTATCAATACCTCTTCCATTGATCTTCTCTGTTTTGCTAAGTTATGATGACTGCAATGCTTACATTGACATGATTCCAGCTTTGATACTTGCGGCTTATTTATGTCTGAAATCTTTGTAGTATGCCAGTAATTATATTCTTAAATAACTTGAATTATGGATAAGCTTCTGACTTTTTTGTTCTTTTTTTATTATATCTTGTTCAATTAATCAACCTTGTGTCAATCATTTGGGTCTCAAATGTGTAACCGATGAACATACAGTAGTGAATACTGAATAATGTAATGGTTATGCGGTGTTGCAGCTCTCTTATACTTCTTATAATTTGAAATTTCTATACACATGTATGTTGATTGGAAACTTGGCATATATCCTATTTACTATTCTATTAGTCATTATTATCTTAATTTATTTTGCAGTTGGTTGATATGCTTGTAGGTTGATGCTCCCATTATTTGGTCTTAGACTTGCTTGGAGGCTGGGATTGGCTTCTTGGAGATTCTCATTCTGCTATGTAAGATATGCACAAGTCCAAGTTCGTAGGTAAAGGAATGCTTTTAAAAAATAGATCTTATAGGCTCTAAGCTTTTATGTGTATCACTTGGTTTGACTTCTCATTACATTGATACTCGTTTTGGCCAATTCAGTGTTATATCCCGAGTGCAGAAAACTTTGAATGGGTCTTCTAATGATATTGGATGGCTGCAACATACTCCAGGAATGGCTCCCGTGGAGGATGGTTCAGCTCGATTTCTGGATCTGCTACAAGGCATAAGGTGTCAGATTTAAATTGATCCATTATGATTTCCGATTGAATTATGTGATTTATCGTGTTGGTTATGATCATGATGTGGGTTTTTTTTTTTCCTGGAATTATTTGAACTTTTATGGAGCTACTGAAGTCTTCCTTCAAAGTGAACTTAGTACTGATCAATTTATTTTATTCTCGTCAATTGTTGGAAATTTATGCAGATGAGTTTAGTTCTGTGGCAAGATGTCATGGAACAGTTATTCAACCAGAGATGGTGAAAATTTGTCTTCTGTTGATGTTAGTCAGTGGTGTTTTGAATGAACTTTAGGAAAAAAAAAAAAAAAAAAAAACTCATCATAATATGAGAAACCTTGAAAATGGACAGCAGATGTATTCTAATTGCATGTGCATTAGGACAATTTGAGCTCTACACTCCATTAGTCTGGCACTCTGAGAAACCTAAGATTCTATTTCAGTGACATCGGCTTCTTTTTGGATTAGCGTGCCATTGAAGAAAAGTAAGTGGTCCAAAAATTGGCCTCTTAAGTTAGATAGTTGGAATAAGTAATGCTTTAGTTTGAAGTTTTAGACTATAAATCTCATGCATTATGTTATACGGACTCAAAAACAAGTTTTAGGTGTGGGTTTATGTCTACGTGTTGGATTTATCAAAATTCCGTACCGAGGAAAACTGGGGACGCAGTTAAATATTATATTTTTAATATGTATCTTTGATTTTCTAGGATCAAATGGTGTTCTTCTGTAACATATAGCATTTAAAACGGATACTTCATTAATTTTGAAATAATAACGTAACACAAGGATTATAATATTCGAGTTCTACCTTCAGAAAAGCGAGTTTTTTTTTTATTTTTTAATAGGGGAAGGGGAGGGGGAGCGGTGGTGAAGGAAGGAGCATTGCTAGAGACTTTATTCAAGTGCATGCATTATTGGATAACATAATCATTTTCAAATTTGTTCTAGTAGAATCTAAAAAATCTATTGTCAGTTCTGATCTATGTGAATGCTAAGCACTTGAGTATTGTTCCTTTTTAAAAGTTGTTTACATAATGAAATCCCTTATTCGCAGTCATCAATTTATAGCATGTATGTATCTGAGTATTTTGCTAATATTTGCTTGTCAGGAATGGAGAGCACACACTCCCCAATTCATTTGTCTATCTTCTCATTCCAGGTATAAAAGTTTCAGTTCCGACTCCTGACATTTGAGTTTTTTTCCTTTTGCCCACTTACACGTTATCTTTGCTGTCATTTTCTAGGTCTATTTAGCAATCATGGGCCCTTGTATTTCGTGAGCACTAAGAGATTTTTCTCAAAAATGGGTCTAGCTTGCCATATTGCAAAAATCCACAGCGAGGTATAAAGAAAATTTTCTTCATGATTCTAGACAAATTTTTTACAGGGAACAACAAAAGTTAATTCCTACCCGAGAATATTAAGCGTGTTTGTGATTTTTCTTCAAATATGATTATTTTCTTTCCTTTACAATTGTCATATTATCTTTTCTTGAATCCTAGTACTTTGTGTGAAGGCATCTGTGGAGCACAATGCGTTGGAACTGAAGCATTACATCGAGGAGCTATTTTGGGGATCTGGCAAACGTGTGATGCTGCTAGGGCACAGCAAGGGTGGGGTGGATGCTGCTGCTGCGTTGTCAATTTATTGGTGTGACTTGAAAGACAAAGTTGCTGGACTGGCACTGGTGCAGAGCCCATATGGTGGCACACCTTTAGCTTCTGATATTCTTCGTGAAGGGCAGATTGCTGACAAGGAAACCCGGAGAATCATGGAACTGTTGATATGCAGGCTAATTAAGGTAGTGCCCTCCTTTGCCTAAGGTCTAGAATCAGTTTTTATGGGTTGTTTTAGTTTTGGGCAAGTTGCAATATGCACATAGGGTATCTGACAGCTCCTGTAGATTAAAGGAAATCACTTGAATTTAATTTGGATATGCAAAAATTTCAAGGACAGCACAAGGAGAACTAATTTTGACATTGGAAAGTTATAATCAAAATATTTTCTGTGCCAATCTTACTTAAACCGGCATCGACATTAATAACAAAAAGATGCTTTATATATATAGTTATATATATTTTTTATATAGGTTTCAAAAAGCTATTAGACTACTAATGCTCATATATCATACTGCAATCGCGACCACGCATGCCTCTGGGGCCTATAAGGTCACCTCATGGAACTCAAGTATCATCTTTTTGAACGGCATGGTCTTCTAATGTGTGAATGACCCTATGCATGTTTCTTGTTGAATGTCGAGGCTGGTTTCCTACTTTTATGACCCACTCATCTTGTCAGGAACCACTAATATATCACCCAACAAATATTATGAATTCACTTTGAGTCGATGATCAAGTATTGTACTTATCAAAAAAAATATATCATTGGTTATCTTTCTTATTAAACTATCTATAACTTGGAAAGCTGAGTATTTAATTTTTTATGGATCCTCAATTATAAAGACACAACTGGAGTGCACACAAAACATTGAGAAGGTGCAAGGGAAACCTGTAAGGATTGTTGGAAGGTGCAAGGGAAAGCTTTTGGCAGTTTTTACTGTTTTTGAATCTTTGAAGGAAGAAGTTTCACCAATTCTTATTTGGTGTTTTTCATGTTTCATTATATGTTAATGTTTGGTATAATATAGTTTACTATTTGTTTTGCTACTTCCTTTGAGTTTTGGTTTCATACATCTTTTTCTAATGCTTCCTAATCTTTTTGCCAGAATTTCTCGATTGGTTTCCCTCTAGGATTTTTTTTTATATGATTCCATGTCTTGCTGATTCAGCATCCCATATAATTTCTGGGCTTCCTTTCTTGCTTTCCCTTTCTATACTGTTTTGTGACCTGGTTCCTGCTTTTGGAACTGTATTTATTTCAGTATAGATTTTTTTTTTTTTTTGGTATGAAAAGAGTAATAACATCCCAACTTTATCGGATTCACTGATTCTATTTTTTTTTTGGTCATGTAAGCGAGCATGCACACACGTACCCCAATGGGGACTTGAACCTTCAACCTTCCATAGGGAAGTAGAAGAGATTTTACTTGAGTTAAAAGCTTTAATCAATTCTACCATTTTCTTCTTTCCCAACCCACCAAACCACCCCCCCCTTCTCTCCTCCCTCTTTTCTTTTTTTCTTTGGGTTCTCATTAATGTTGTTTAAGAAATTGAACTGTAGGGTGATATACGAGCATTGGAAGATCTCACATATGAGAAACGGAAGGAATTCATAATGAAGCACAGGCTCCCCCAGGACATTCCCATTATCTCATTCCACTCTGAAGCGAGTGTGGCACCAGGTGTCCTTGCCACAATGTCCCATATAGCACATGCAGAACTTCCCTGGCTCCCCTTTCCCAGATTTGGTGGTGACGAGTCCGAAGAAGCCGTCCAGGCAGGGCGTAAGGTGCCTGTGGTAATTCCTGTTTCTGCAGTCATGGCTGTGTGCGCACTCCACCTGCAATTAAGGTATGGTGAGAAGAGTGATGGACTGGTGACATGTCGCGATGCTGAAGTGCCCGGCTCAGTCATCGTGAGACCGGATGCAAAACTCGACCATTCTTGGATGGTTTACTCCTCATGGAAGAAGGATCCCAGTCAACCTGATGCCTGTGAAATGTGTGAGGCTTTATTGACTCTGCTTGTGGAGCTTGGGAATGTGAAGCAAGAAGAAAGGGACAGGGTGGGGTCATGGTAACATTTTCCAAAAATGTTCTGTTAAATTCTGTTTTGCAAACCACTATTGAGAAAAAAATGAATTGGCAACTAATTGTTGCTACATGTATTTGTCATTCCATGTATTTGTTGCATTGGATTGTCACAGTTTATAAAATATTTTTATCTAATGATTAAATGGGTATTTCTCTATTCATTCAAAATGTGATCATTGTGCAAGTTTTGTGTTGCTTGAATGGTTGGATAGCACCCCGTGTCTGGGAGTTAACCACCAACTCCTGTTATTCTTGCCCTAAAAAAAAAAAAAAAATGGTGATTGTGAATTGCTCGTGTTCCTCACTCAACCAAACATTCCCATGACAGCATTTTCTTTCTTTTCTTCCTCATCGCTCTCTCTGGTCCAAGCTTTTCCCAATTGAAATAACACATTTTAGAACAACACATGTTATTAATTCTGAAATACAGTTACAACTTACAACGCTACCATGGTGATTGATGGTCAAGATGGGTGGCCATGGAATTGATGAGCACCAACTTGGTACGAAAATTATACGGATGGTCCGATTGTAGAAGGTGGGCCGGAGTGGAGATTTAAATTATCAATGCAGACAACTAACTTTTTATACGTACAATTCAGCTTATTGTGGAGGTACTCTTAAATTCATACGGAAAAACGTATCACTATATATCACAGTGTGATTCATACTACCATCATGCATGTGCTGGGAAAAAATCTATTGGTTAAATTTTGACTACATTTATCCAGACTTTTAACTATTTTATATAATACCTCATTCATCAAGAAGGCATAGTACTATGTGGTTTGTGTGTGTGTGTGTGTGAAAACGGATCCTTAACCATAAATCCATAGAATCAGTAATGAACTAATAATAACCTTACCTTTTGTGCCTCTGTATGATTCATTGGGGGACCAAACGAGTAATGTGATATAATAATAATTAAATAAATGTTTAATTCTCAGAAAATGGATCGACTCATAGTACGAGCACTTTCAACAAAAATTAAATAGATGTTTAATTATCAAAAAAATCTAGCAACTCATGGTACCAGTAGCTTCAACAAACCATCAAACAGCTGCACATTTTAAAGGCATGAAACAGGGACTTGCATTGCATTGCATCATCTGCCGTATTGGGAAAGTCCTTATTGAAGAGGTCCAGTACACCCATCAATGGTGGTTATTAATTAGATCACACAATCATTCTCAATGGGTGTCGTTTTCACACTTCAAGCGCGCTGTCACTTTCATACTCCTTAGCCGCTCTTGCTCCCATTCTCACTATTTTTAACTTAATCTTATGATTTTCGTGCTCCCGCTCTCGAATTCGCTCTCGCTCCCCCTCTTTGTGACTTAGAAACTTATTACTACCATCCAGTGAGACGCCATCACTTAGTGATATCAATCATCAGCCATTGATTTGTGTATCGGATCTCTTCGTATTAAACAGACGTCTCGATTCACCCACTGTTGCTTTGAGAATATACATTTATATATATATTTCTCAAGTCTCTTGATTATTTTGCAATATTGCAATGCAATGCGATCTTGAAATTTAAGTTTAATGTATGTGTGTATAATGTTTGTAAGGGGTGAAATTTAGTTTGAGAAGTTGAATGCTCCCAACTATGCCGCTAATGTCTTTGGTTTGCGTTTTGTTTTTAACTCGAAACAAAATAAGTATTTTGTTGTAAAGTGTTTTGAATAGTAATCGGAAACATTTTTGGTAACGTTCATTTGTTGTTAGATTTTTGAAAACAAAAATATGAAAACATATTTGGTGAAAAAAGTGTTGCTAGTTTGAAAACTATAATGATTAGTTTAAAAATGTCATTTAAGAGCTTTTTATAAATTAAAAAAAAAAAATTAATTATGGCTACAGTATTCGTTGTTATAGTGTTAAAATATGTAAAAATACCAAATTATTATTTCAATTTTTCGCCACTATTCACAAAACATTTTTTTTCCTACCAAATATGTTTTCTTCACTATTTACTGCTACAATACCCGACAAAAATAAAAATACCAACAAACATGCCCTAAGTAATGCCCCGTAAGAAAGAAACTCTAGGCTGGAAAAATATTTTAAGAGTAAGAATATTTTTAATTTTCTTTTTTTATTATATATACGGGTGTTAAAATTGTTAAGTTAATTAACTTTAAAAAGTTTTCAAATTTTTTACTCTTTTTTTAAGTCGGCAAAAAAAATATACTCACACATTCACTTGTCCGTGTGGGGATTTGAACAGGTGAGGATTTTACCTCTGACCTTCCTTTGGAAAGTAAGGGTCTGATACTATTAGGCCACTGATATGTTGATGAACAGATGAGGATTAGAGAAGTACTACTAAACTATTGCCTTTAATTCCTTACAAATAGCTTTGGCCTTAAATTTTTATTTGTGTGTGTGTGTATATATATATATAAATTTCCCTTCTTAAAATAAACTATTTTTTTCTCGAAAGTTCTCTAATTTTTTTTTTTTTTTCCTTTTCCTTTCTTTTCCTTCTTCCTTTTTTATTTATTTATTTATTATACTTCTTAAAATTCTTCTTTTTGTTGGTTATGTAGAATGTGTCGAGTGTATAACTTTCTTTTCTCTTCTTATTCTCTTTTATTTATCTTGTTCTTACTTTTCTCTTCTTATTCTTTTTATTTCTCTTCTTCTTATTTAAATTTATTAATGTAATTGTATGAAACTCAATGGGTGTAATAACTTTCAAAATACAAACAGCTCCCAAATTAAAATCCTCACTCCGCTCTAATTCTAACAATAGTGGACATGCTTTCAAAAATAGGACGGAATACGTTCACTGTGCTTTGAAGGGACCATATCCATATGTAATTTTATTTTGCAACCTTAAGAATAATAACCATAAATAGAATCCTGATAAAAATTGAGAGGCCACGTGTGATTTTCCTAAGCAAACTCACCAGTGTTAACCATCACATACAAAAAAAAACTTGGGGCCCTATGCCCTGTGTTACGTGAAAATGGAGTTAAAGGATGAGGAAAGTGGAAGAACTCACGGGTATACAATGAACAAAGTCGGATAAAAACTTTAATAAAAAATACTATAGTATTCATTGTTCTCTCAATTATTTATGAAACTTACAAGATAACTACTAACTTGGCCATTAATGGGAGGAACTGAACTAGCTAGTAATAGTAAAACCCTAATGACAACCCTTTCCCACTTTTGGTAAGGACCACTTAGTTACAACTGTGTCATTGAATTCTATATTTTACCAATGGATATTATTTTCGTGGTTTTGCTTTTATAAAAATTTGTAACATCTCATCTCCCGGAGATCTAATACCGATTAAATGAGAAGATTAGTTGCAATAAAGGATAAAAGATAGAGGAAGAACTTTCAAAAATCAAACAAGATGAAATTACTAAGAACGATTTTAAAAAGTTATATTTAATAGGTGAAATGACATGTGATGTAAAAAATTTTAGAAAAAAAATTCACATAACCGATCCTATTTATATGAAATTAAGGCAAGATTTATCATGCTAAATTAGAGGTCTGGAATAATATTAATGTAACTCAAAAACTTAAAATATGCAGTAGTGTAGAAATGCAATGGTGTATTCATCTTATAGGAAAACATTTAGAATTCATAACTTCACACATTGATAGAACTTAAAATATATTTTCTTTGGGTTGGACTATTGATGAAGGCTCGGTTTCAGCTGTTCTTTTGCCAGGGGCCAGATCAATTAAAGCCCCGTGTTATATATATAATTAATGAAGCATGGTTTACATTACAAACCCTATTTCGCTCCCATGCTGTCACATTTAAAAATATATATATATATAGTTGAAAAGAGTAAATCTATGAACATATTTGAAAATTCCAGATTTGGGAAGTATGGTAAGTGGGGGAAGTTAAGAGGATGGGTGCACGGAGAATTGTTTCGTCAATGCAGCATCTTGATAGGGGTAATTTGGTCTTTTTTGTTAGAATGATATTTATATTATGTAGACGTTAGAGAAATTTAACTTCATCAGCTTGTTAAGATATGGTTACGTCATTAATGTGTAAAATTATTTACACAGCCTTTTTACACAGCCATATCAGCATATTTACTTTATCGTCCCTCTTTCTCGTTCCATTAACGAATCAACCCTATATTAAGTAGGTTTGTAAAAATTATGTTGGGGTTCAGATATGACAATGGTGAAATATAAAACAACAGCTGTATCTAAAAAGAAATAATTCAAAATTCTTGTGTAAATCTATTATTACACATCATATTTACAAAAAAATAAAAAAATAAATAAAAATAATTCCTATTAAGCTCTAAAGTTTTCTTATTTTATCATTAAAAAAATCATACATTTACCAAAACAACAAAAAATTCATCACTCGTTATATATTCCTTACGAAAGAATGAAATAAATTATTTTTTTCCATCTTTTTGTTGGGTTGTATTAAAAAAAAAAAAAAAAAAAAGAGAGAATAAGTTCATAATTTATTATATTTTTTACGAGAGAAGGAAAAATAAAATTTTAAATTATTTTTACCATAATGTGTTTATATTTAATATTGTATTTCATAGAAGATAGTAACTTGTATAATTTAGGATGGTCTATAATTTTAAACATCAATAATAGTCCACTTATTATTATTTTTTTTGGATGGATAAAAATTTGTAAAAAATAAATAATGTTATATTCTTCTATTATCCTTTCTTTCTTTACATCATCTGTACAAACAAATAAAATTTGTTTCATCCTTCTCATTTTCTTTTCATACATCTTTTATCTTCGTACAAAACAATGCATCTTTATAAAAATATAAAATTATGTAATTGTTATTAAAAAATATTCCAACCCTCCCACAATTCCAAAAATCACCATACATTCGTGAGGGTATTTAATTATAAATTATTGTAATTAATAAATTATCTTGTGTGAATAATTATAAGATGATTTTTAAAAATTATTAATTGATTTAAAGTAGTAGAAAATCTACATAATTCTTAAAGATATCAAATTTATTCCAAAAAAAAACAAAAACACTAAACTTGTGTTGAGTTGTACAACAAAAAAAGCCTGCGTCATTAAACACCATGAAAATGCCATGTGTCTCGGACAGCTGTGACTTTCAAAACCCTCCACTCTACTCTCTCTCTCTCTCTTCTATCCGTTTGTGTCCCTGTACCAATGCGTCATTAAGAAGTATACAAGTAATGTCTAAGACCGCGTTTGGATAAATCCCAAAAACCGGGTTAAACACCGGTTCTTGTTTCAAGCTGTTTGGTACGTAGAACAACACTACTTGTACGGCGCGTTCAATCAAGGGTCCGTCCCGAGTGATTTAGAGAACAAGGCCTTTTCCGGGCTTTACAAAACCGATGTTACCTCCGCAGTTTGACAAAGAAGCTCATAACTTTTCATTGGGCTGGCCCACCCCTCTCTCTCTCTCAACTCTTTCTCTCTCTATATTTGTGTATATAAACACATATTACACACGCACATCTCACACACTATATATATATATATAATACACAGCCGAATCATTCATAAACCCTCCTCTCTGATCTTCTATTTTCTCCCTATTCAACACTTCTTTCCTTTTCTACTCATCTGATACTTCTCTCTCTAGACAAGAATAACTGAGCAGACTCATCAACAACTGAGTTCAGATCACACCATTAACAATGGGTGATCCACCGGAGACCGAGTCTAGTACCAACTCGTTCTCGCCACCACCACCAAACTCACCGTCTTCATCATCTGGGTTATCTCAATCCAACCAAAACCTAGACCCAAAAGAGCCCGAATCAGCGGACCCGAATCAGAAAAGGAGCAAGAGGGGGAGAGAGAGCAAACACAGTGTATACAGAGGGGTCCGAATGCGCGCATGGGGCAAATGGGTTTCCGAGATCCGCGAGCCCAGAAAGAAGTCACGGATCTGGCTCGGAACTTTCGCCACCCCGGAAATGGCGGCCCGGGCCCACGACGTGGCGGCCCTGTCCATCAAAGGCACCTCAGCGATTCTCAACTTCCCGGAACTCGCCGAGTTGCTTCCACGGCCCGCCTCGTGCTCTCCACGTGACGTCCAAGCCGCAGCCGCCAAGGCGGCGTCAATGGAGCATCTCAACCCTCCTCCACCACCACCGTCGTCTCCGCCGTCAACGACGTCGTCGTCGTTTATGTCGGAACTTTCGACACCGAATGAACTGGGCGAGATAGTTGAGTTACCGAGTCTGGGATCGGGTTACGACTCGGCAGAGTCGAGGAACGATTTTGTGTTTGTTGACTCGTTGGAGGGATGGGTATATCCGCCGTGGTTGCACAGTGGTGAGGATATTGTTCATCATTTTACTGATGAAATGTCAATATCAGAGACTGCCATTTCAAGCAGTTTTGAGGCTTTCTTGTGGTAGTGTCGTTTTTTTTTTTTTTTTTTTTTTTTTTTTTTTTTTTTTTTGCAGAAAATCGTGTGTTAGGGTTTTTTTTTTTTTTTTTTTTTTTTTTTTCTAATTTGTTTCTAGTAATCAGTTTTTGTTTTGATATCGGAAAATATTTTAACTTTTTCTTTGAAGGACTAAATTAAATACTTTTCTTACTGTTCAAGTTCTGAGTTGGTCCGTATTTAAAGTGCTCAAGATGGGTCATTTTTTACTTTTTGCATAATGATCATCGTATTAAAGTAAAAAGGGGTTACTTCTATCTTTCTCTTTTCAATGACCATTAAACTCGCCTAAAGCAAATCTCTCTCTCTCAAATATATATATATATATATTCTCAATGTCTAATCTTTTGAAATATTTAAATAAACACTGAAGACATTAAAGCTCTTTTATGTTAATTTAGGTTAGCTTTTGAGTTCCAACTAGGGCTCCGAATTTGAAGATCACATTCCTAAACGTTTAGCTAAATCTAGAATTTTAAAAAATATTAATTTGATTTACATCCCGTAGAATAGGGCTGCCTAGCTAGCCTTGGATGGTCTATACATATTACTTTTTCAGTTTGAAAGAATCTACGGAGTAAAGTATTAAGTGGATTGTAAGATAAGAAAAACACAGTACGACTGTGTGTGACTCTGTAAGCAACTCCACAGCGTCCATTATGTAATACCACAAAAAGTAGTGTCCAATTTTGTGTACACACACATATTTACATATTGTACACATATTTACGTATTTTTACTTTTAATTTGGAGCATTATGTAATAGCACAAAGTAGTGTCCAATTTTGTGTATACACATATTTATACTTTTAATTTGGAGATTATGTGAGTTGCACAGTGATACCAAATCGGCCGGTTCAGTTTTGGAGCTTTTAATATTGGTACTCACCTACATGTCATTATGTTACAGTCGTAGATCAAACTTATATTAATCTCACGTGAGACAACATAATTTTTTTTTTCTTTTATATCATTAAAAGAGAAATAGATATAAAACAAGCATGCGTCACTGGATTCTTCTAATGAATGAAGTGGCATATGTTGATCCACTTTGTGAGAGGATTTGTGGTAACAATGGCATAATCTGAATCAATTTGTGATTTTGACACATACCCCCAAAAAGAAAAGAAGAAGAAGAGACAAGGATAAGAAAATTAAAAGTGAAAACTACTTTTACTTTGACATGTCTTCCAATTCCTTTAAATTTGGAAAACGTTTTCAGTGAACATTTGATACGTACGCATTTATTTCATACGCGCGCGTGTACAAACATATTTGTTATTATTTTTTTTTTTTATTTTTGATAGTTTTGATTTAGTATTTTTTTTTTTTTTTAGAATAATGTATCGGTCTCACAATACACCACTATGTAAGTCAGAAGTGCGATTCGAAAGAGAAATTTAAGTACTTAACTATCAGATCCCTTGTCAAGGCCGTTATGTCCTAGAGACTAATTTTAACTTAGATTACTCAAACATTAGTATTCATAATAATAGAGTCGCTTTCTAATATTTTTTTCTGATCCTATAATATTCCAGTGACTCTAAACATATTCTAAACATATTCTTTCCTAATGTTTATGAAATTATAAATACAAGCGCGATAAACTGATTTATCTTGTCTCCAATGATTGCATTCGAATATTAAAAAGCTTAAAGTTTATTGTTGAAAACTATATAGAAATAGACATTTTGAAACTTGACAAACAACTCAAAATCACAATAATATATGATTATGATATTGTGGGGTTGCTGAATTTATATAGTGAGTCACCATGTAGGGTCTATGTTTTGGCTGGTGATGGAGGTTTAATATAAACCCTATTTAAAATGGAATTATGATTAAGAGAGAGAGAGAGACCATATTTAAAATGGTCCCATGAATGAATTAATCATGCATTTATATTTTTAATAAACTTTGGCCACATATAGAGTGTCATCGAGATTAAATATTCAACTTAATATTGTGATACTCGGTACATATAATAATGCAAGATGAACAAAAAGGGCTTGAGCACCACCTACCTTCCAACTTAACTCACCAAATAATTCAATTATTTGGCTATCATTTAACAATATGAAATAAATATACATTACTAGTAATTATGTTTAAGGTAGGACCAAATTTGTAAAATAATTCTAGGAAATGCCAAATATATATATATATATATGTATATATATATATTCTTTTCTCCTCTTATCTATGTTTTAAAATTTTGATATGTTTTAAAATTTTGACATAGCATTTGAGAGTTAAAATGCAAATGGATTCAAATAAAAGTAGAACAGTAACATCAAAATATTATATATATATATATATATATATATATATATATGCAAATGCTTCATTTATTTGAAACTCTGTCAAAGGTTCAACCTCACCAACTTCGTGGCATATATTAACAAAATCTAGCCTTCTAAAATTGTAGTCTTTTAAAATTATTTTCTGACTTCAAAACCAAAAAATAATTGAGAAAGAAGATGCGGATAACTAGACAACCATAAGCGGTGATGATTGTCTCGTCTGTAATATATATATATATATATATATAGGAAAGTTGTAAGTCAAACTTTGATGACCCCATCACACAGCTGTGAGATGTGATGAAAGCAAATTAAAGACCCCACTTCTTTTCTTTAATATTTTTGTCATCTTATTAATTTTTTTTATTATTTATGATTTTTCTGTTCCTATTATTAAGTAATTTAAATTGTACGGACTCGATTTTTATTGTCACCGGAAAAGGCCAATTGACAGCAACTTGGCACTGAAACAAGGTCACACATTGAATATTTTGTTATATGGTTGGAAATTTGGAAACCTTAATTAATATTGCATCATATTTGTTCATAATATTTTCACTTCTTGAGGAATAAAACAATATTTATTTTTAAAGGAGTAATAATTGATGAAGAATTATTTTATTTGTGAAGACTTCTAAGGATATTAAAACAAGAAAGAAAAAAGTAAAACAATAATATACAATTATTATTATTATTTTTTTTTTTTTTTTTTTGTGAAATTTTATGTGCATGTGTATGTAGGTTAGAAAAGTCTTTTACTTCAATTTAAAATTTAACAATTATAAAAATCCACTATATATGTGTCTAAAGAATACATCCTTAATGCATAAGGTTTGCGTGAATTCTTATATCCATAACACATAAGGTTAGCATATATATATATATATATGGGGGCTAATGGCGAAATTTGAAAAAAAAAAAAAAAGGAATTAAGGAAGGGAAAAAAAGGTTAATTACGACAATTTAGAAAAGAAAAAAAAAAGGAAATAAAGAAAGAAAGGAAGGAAAAAAATAGCTAGTGGCGACAATTAAAATAAAAAAGAAAGAAATAAAGGAAGGAAGGAAAAAGTTTAAGGCTAGTTGTTTATATCTATATATATATATATATATATACATATATACACACACACACATATACCTATATGGATTGAAGAAGGAGATGTAAGATAAGTAATGAAAAAGGCTTTAGATGTTAGTTTTGTTTTTAAAAGATGTTATATTTGAAAATAGAAAAAAAAATAATTAATAAATAGTTAAAAAGTCAGATGAAGAATGTATTCGACAAATTTAATATAAATTTTTGAAAAGGTAAATATATATTTCTTAATATGGTAAAATAATCTATATATATATATATATATATATATAAATGATGGTGTCTTACTCATTAATCACTTAATATTAAAGTATTAAAAGAACATATTGAACATTGAAAACGCACAAAAAAAAAAAAAAAAAAAAAAAAAAAAAAAAAAAAAAAAAAAGGACAAAACAAAACAACCTACGTTTTTATTGAGTTAGGGTATACCACGAACGCTTAATATCTTCTCCTCTAAAAATATATTTGTTATTAGCAAATGATTAGGCAAATACTTTTGTAACCTAGTGATTCTAGTTTCTAACTTCTAATTAAATAAATAACAAATGACGAGCGTGATAAGTTATCTCATTAATTACATATTATAATATAAGACATCACGGCATTAATCATGTGATAATTACTTATAGTCCTCGTTTTGACACTAACTTCGATGCAAACCCCAAGGAATATGTTGATTCTTAGTCACGTATTAGCATATAGTTGACCCTTTAATTACTAATTAATGGGATTCCATGGCACATGCTTCTCCGTAATCGTTGCACGTGCTCTGATTGACCAAGTTGGACTTCATTGATAAAATGATTACTCAAATGGATTAAGAAAAAAATTTGAAAAGCCGGTCCAGTGTTCATTTTTTAATTGTAATTGTTAAAAGTCAAATTATTCTAATGTTTCATATAATAATTCAAAATTGTCTTTCACAAATTTTGTATTTTAGTATAAAAAAAACCTCAAACACGACATCAGATATATGAATCTATTTGAGAGGATACAAACATAAGAAATTTTAAATCAAAACAATAAATATTACTTAAATTCACTAATAAAATATCTAATTTACTTAAATACTCTCAAGTTGTTATGATAAATGATTATAGTAATCATCTCTATCTGTGAGAGATAGATGAACTAAGGTAATATGAGAATTTCAATTTATTCAGTACAACATCACCAAAATCCGTCATTAAATTGCATTGACCATAACAAAAGGAAGCATCAGTAAAATTCGTCATTGACTTGTGTTGACCATAATAAAAAGAAGGTTTGTGTAGATTAGTTTCATTTTAAAAAAAGATCCGAGTAATTTTCCAAACCATATGTAAAATAAAATAAAATCATGACCCAATGGCGCTTACATATTCTATTTCTTAACGTCTAATCTCATACCATTAATATATAAATGAAACCCAAAACTTGAAAAAAAAAAAAGAAAAAAAGAAAAGAAAAAAAGAAAAAGGAAAAGGAAAAGAAAAAAAAGAAAAGAAAAAGAAATCCAAAACATTATTTATAACTTCTTAATTAATTTTCTTTATCTTTGGTCAGTATGGGAATGCACGAGGGAATAAAATAATTTGTATATATGCAATGTTATTATATATATATATATACATATATACAATATGTGGTTCTTGATACATCCATTGAAGGTTGTTGGAATGATATTGAATATATATAATGGAAACCCGTAAAGCCCTAGAGGCCTGAGAAGTGGTGTTTTGAAAGGGAATTTTTATAGAAGGGTCACCAGTCCCTCGATTCCTTTGGGAGTCGATTGGACTTGTATTGATGCAATGGACTTTGTACTGATGCAATGTCTGGGCCCTCCCTAGCTTTTTCAAA